TTCTTAAGCCTGTAAGGTTGGTTTTGACAGCCATTTTTTAGCAAACTTCTAAAGTATTTTTCTACAGTTTTGTGTACAAGTGATCAGCAGGAAGAGTGTGTTTTCCATATAGAAAATTAGATGTTTATTTTTTATTCAATTTGTTTTGTTTTATATTATATATATATATATATTTTTTTTTTCTGTTTTTTTTCTTTTTAACAAGAAGGTACTATTTATTTTTTAAATATTTATTTTTTTTTTTTGCAGACATTTTTTAAGCTTCTTGTTTATTTTTATTGCTTTAACTAAAGCACTTTTAGAAGTGACTGGCTGGGCTTTTCCATATCATTTTTTTTATCTTTTCTAAATTTTGAATCTTTTTCAAATTCAACCCAATATATCTTCTATATATATACTTTTTTTTTGTATCTAAGTCTTGAATTTAGTTATTTTTTTTCTAAAAACTTCCTTTTTCTCTCTAGTTATATTTATATATCTTATTTGGTTTACTGAATTTTGGTTTTGAGTATTACTTTTTTTTTTTGTTCTTCAATTTGTAGTTTTGAGATCTTTCTCTTTTTTAGCTTTGTTTATATATGTCTTATTTTTCTGTTTTTTTTTTTTGTTTTTATTATCTTTTATATCAGAGATTTGACTAAAACTGTTCCAACTTTTTTTTTTTTTTTTTTAAACATTTTCTTTTTTTTATTTTTCTTTTTTTTTCAGTTTATTCAATATAATCAAAAATTGTTAAACATAATTAGTTTTAATTAAACTACCTTCATATTTTTCTTAGTATAAACATAATTATTGTAGTTCTCTTCTAGTTTTTCATTTCTATTTAATAAAATATAAACTGACTTTACTTTTTTACTTCTTAGATTTTATAAGAATAAGACTTTTAAAGTATTTCTAAATAATTTTGTCAAGAGGTGACAATCTAGTGAAGTGATCAGGTTGTCAACTCCCAAGTAGCAAGTCTAAAGTTCAAATCTTATAGATACAAATTTTGAAAAATAGGTCTATCTTATAGTAACTGTCTTTGTTAATCAGTTAGATTAGTGTATTTGTAACCTTTAGTTGCATCATTTCAAATATAAGCTTGAGGTATTTATACAAAATGTAATATTACATCTATATAGAGAAATGTTAATAACTGATGTTGTATAAAACTTTAGTGCAAATTTACAATAAGACTACCAAATACAGAAAGCAAAAGAACTGAAGAATTGAAAACCTACTTAGAAATTCTAAATAAGAAGATAGCACAAAACTTTTGATGGTATTGTTGGACTAATAGAAGCCTATAAAACATCTTTAAAAAAATAACAGATAAACTGAATGACAAGATGTATAAAAGAACATATAACTAACCAGGCTACTATAAATATTAGAGAAAAAAAAATACTAAAATATATCATATCAGGCTATTTAGATTAAGAGTTTGAGAAGTCCTATCAATTCTGAGTAGTAGTTAGTAGAAGACAATAGAAAAGATATCAGAAAGATAAGTATTATAGTTTTAACTAAACCTTACAAAAATAAAAGCAGTTTAATGATTAGTTCTAACTGCAAGTGATGGTTTAGGTCAAAATAATATTAGATGAGCTGTAAGTATAGAATACAGAACATACTAGTAAGTTTAGTACAAAGTTAAATATGACTTAGTAATCATGACATATTTTTATTAGTTTACTGAAGTTATTAGTAAGATGTGGTAGATACAGAATCAGAATATTTAAATAGAGGTCCTACAGGTAAGTTCTAGATATAGTAACTAGTATAAAACCTTCAGATGAATTACTTAAATTAGACAATAATTAAAGTTGTATAAATGACTAGTTGTATACTCTTTCTATAATTGCCTTTGTACTATTATATTAACAAATGCTGACCAACTGATACTTCTGATTAAATCTTGAGTCACATATACTCATCTTAATATTTAAAAATAATAATAATTCTGTTAACATTGCTATATATTTTTTCTAACTTTTTCTTATTTTATAGTCTTTTTTTTTATTGTTACTTATACTAATTTGTTATTATTAACTAGTATAATCCATGAAGTAATTTTTTCATTTTTTTTTTATCTATATTATTACTAAAGCTTTGTATTTAGATCTTTTAATTTTTTTATTTTTTTTAAAAAATATTAAGATGAGTACTTGTAACTCAGAATTTTATTGATAGTATATTTGACTAATAGTTGTATTACAATACAGAAAACAACTATAGAAAGAGTGTACAACTAGGCACTAGTACAACTTTAGTCATTGTCTAATTTAAGTAGTCTACTCAAAGATTTTATACTAGTTGCCATATCTAGAATCCGCTTGTAGGTTTCTTATTTAATCTCTTAGTTTTTGTATCCACCTACTTACTTCTGTCTACCAATGACTGACCGATGTCAGTAAAAATATGATATGATCACTAAGTCTTTAAAGTAGTTTATTCATATAAGGAACCTTTGACCTTGTATTAAACCTTCTAGAATTTTCTGTATTCCATTCTTATAGCTAACCTAGTATTGCTATAACTAAGACTAATACTAGTAATTAAGATATATTATTAAACTGCTATGTCTTTGTAGAGTTTACCTCAATTCTGATACTAACTTCACAACATATTCTTACTATTTTAGTATTCAATTCAAGTTTTACCAAGCTACCATTTTAGATAACCTAAAAAGATAAGTCAAAACCATACAATTTTGGTTTATATATTTGCTAATATGTATCTTTTTCTTTCAAAACTCAGAAATTCTGACAACCTGATTGGTTCATTCAGTTCCTCTTTAAAGATCAATACATTTGTCTAGTTTCACAAGTTCTAGTCTTATTTTATAAGTCTAATCTTTATAGTAAAATTATCAAAAATTTAGATTACCTCTCTATTTAGGTCTTTCAAGTATGCTTCTGTCTTTTTATCTGGGTTCTGTGATTTATATAGTCTAAGAACTTATCTTGGGTTCACATTACCCAGTACTGGTTTGTGTTTTCTTATACAATATTGTATAAATGCCTAGACCTTTCAGTCATGCTAATATAATACAGGTTACAGATATCTTATCCCAACTAATCATAGAAGACAGTTAGCTGTAATACAAAAAGAATTGCAAATTTTTGCCATCACTGAAATTTGAACTCTAGACCTGTCACTTGGAGGTTAACAACCTATCCATTTTACTAGATTACCACATCTCAGATCTTTTAATTTCTACTATATAGGTTTTCTTAAATCTTCTACAAATATATTCTAATTCTTTTTTGTTTATATTTGTTGATAAGTTCTATATAATTAGATAATTTTTATTTTTATATTTTTATCTGTTTCATATTGATCTTGTACATGATTAACTTTTCACAAAGTGTCCCAGGAATAATAATAACAACTATAAGAAGATTCAGGTCTAAAGATGCAGACATTTAGAAAATCAAAGATGGCTACCTTTTACGTCACCTTTACGTTATACAATATACGTCAATACGTCACAAACGTCACTGCTATACACTTCTGCAAGTAATACAAGGGGGAATCACCAAAGTTTCGGGTCGGATCCGTCGAATTTAGGTCGGCATTTAGCAATACAAGTCAACCATTTTTGGGCCAAAATTATCAGCTGTGCAGCTTTACTTAATGAGTGGGCCATGACTTTATTGGCAAAATTAGTTAATTCCGGCCCTGCCGACCTCGAGGTATTCCGACCCAGAATTTTGGTGACCCCTGTATAAGTTATTTAAAATATCCATTTATCTCATTAACGTTAAGCAATTAATTAAATTAAATATATCTATTTCATGTGCTCGTTCGCATGATATTATATTTGCATGCTCGATTAGAGCACTTTTGAATCTAACCGGATTGCTTTCGGCATATCCTTGCTTAGTCATCGTTTCGTTGACTCTGTCAAGATTTTTACTAAGATGTGCTTATAAAGAGGTTTTTTTAATATGTTTATATATAATTAGTTTTTAAATAAATGTGCTTATAAAGAGGTTTTTTATATAATGTGCTTATAACGAGTGTGATTATAGAGGAGTCTGACTGTATACTCAATTTCAAACTTTATGAAGAATACATGCCATAGAAGTTTGTTGTAAACATTTTTAATAGTGGCTTGCGATGTAGGTTTTTTATAACGACTTTTTATATTGCAACTTATTATAACAGTTTGTTGTATAACAAATTTGTTATATAATAGTGCAATTGTTGTCAATTATATAACGGCTAAAAATAATTGCTTATAATCTTATAACATTTATAATAATGGTTTGTAATGACTATGTAAAGGCTATGTAACGGCTTTATAATAGCTGTATAATGGTTTTGAATATTCGAATTGATTCGAATATTCAGTTATTCGAATATTCGATTCCAACTTCTAGTTGACAATTATTTTTTCTTACTGTAGGAAGCTGCTGATTTCCTATTAGCAAATCCGCTCTTTGAAAAAAAGCACACATATATACATATTAGAATTAGAACTATGTTATAATTCAGAAATACAAAAATCAAAATAATATAAACGGTGGCCAATATTTACCAAGCCTATTTCAGCCAAGTCTTCGTTAATATCACTATCACATAACTTGTAAGACACGGAAGGTCGTGTAGCACTAAAGGTTAAGGACATAATAGATAAATAGAATAGAAGGTATCAATTGGATCATGCAGTACTACAATTATGAAACATAAGTGACAAAAAAGGATATCTGACATTTTTTGTTTCTTTACTTTAACTTCAACCTCTTGTGTTGTCCTAGTACGTAATCTTCGTTGCGTATGAGTCCTCATAGTACCGTCCATAGCAACATCTTTAATTAAATTGTTCAAAAATACTTAGAAATTTATCCCGAGATGTCAAATACAAAGTAACTGCAAATTCTAAATACCGTTATGTATGTCATAACTTTCATAGTCTTCTGAGAGTTTTCTTTTTCTTTCTTCGACTTCTGCAATTAATCTGTCATTGACTGCTTGACGTTGCGCCTAAGCGAATATCAATATTATTTACTTATGTTATCAAATTTACAATTTATAATAAATCATACGTACCTGATAAGATTCTTCAAGGCGAAGTGTTTCAGCTTCATACTCTTTTTGTATACATTGACGTTGATAACTTAATGCCAACGCATGTTGCTCGAGCATTTGTTCTCGCTTGTCAATAATTTGTTGCAACCGTTCCTCGAATTCAGGATGTGTGCCTGAAATAATAATAATTATAGTGTCAATATTTGTTCTATCATTTAAGCATTTAAAAATTTCATTAAAAATATACCTTCTCGCACAGCTTTGATTTCTTCATCGATATGCCTTAATTGTTCATTAAATATCCTATAAACACGTCACATATTGAATAAAAGTGAATGATTTATAAATGCACCTAAACACGTCTGGTTGTTGAGAGGATTATTTTTTCAGGATCTTTTCATCTAAACCTTAGGTGTTTGAGGTTATTGCAATTTGCGGAATTGTGACCTTCTGATAAAAAGACGGACCCTTTACATGTCATATAAAGGAATGATGAGATTTCATAAACAGAAACGAAAAATGATACATACTCATCACGTTTTTTTCTGAACTCCGCTTCTAAGGCATGTAGCCGGAGTTGTATGCTTTGTCGGGTTTTTAAAGTATCATGGTCAATTTGTGTACGAGAGTTTGCTAAAGGAAAAATATTTAAACATAAAAAAGCGCGAGTGAAATCGTATATAAAGCTTTTCTGCAGTTGAGAGAATGTGATTTAGAAATCAATGTAACATACTTGCAGAAGATTCCGCATCTTCACGTTCAGTTTTAATCCCTTTAATTGTCTCATCATCAGTCTTCGATGTTTCTATGACAAATTGCGAGTCACTGCCATCCAAAACTGTGTCTTGCATTATAATATCATGATCCTGGACTTGTTCACCGTCTGACGACTCTCCCTCGTAATAACTGGGTTTCGCTGTTTGGCGCTGCACCCGTTTTGTTTTAGTGTGGGAATTTTTATGGTCTGCAGGCATTCGTTGAAGCAGGTAAAATTATTATTAATTACTGAATAAGATTGGGTGATATAAGTTCGGGCTTTTACTGACAATTAAATTTTGCATCATAAAATTTTTGAATATGATACGTATTTATCGTTATCCCATTTTAGATTTTACTATTATCTTTGTACGCGGTTTCACCAGCGCATAAAAAAATTATGTGCCAGGTCTTGTCGATCTTTTATCACGTGGTTACAAAACTCCTGTAAATCGTGTAACACAATATTAGTACAGTCTGACCTCGTTATAGTCACTCTTGATATAGTCACAACCTTGATATAGTCACCCTGTTTTTTGTATAAATTTTGACCTTCATATAGTCACAACTTTTTATAATCACCAATTTTTTGTTTCCCGATCTGGTGATTATATCAAGGTCTGACTGTATACAGTCAAACCTCTCTATAGTCGCACTTGTTATAAGAACGTCATACAAAAAACCTCTTTATAAGCACATCTATTTAAAAACCAATTATATATAAATATATTAAAAAAAACCTCTTTATAAGCACATCTTAATAAAAATCTTTTTATAAGCACACAAATCTTTAACCCGGAGGGTGTGATTATAGAGGGGTCTGACTGTATATATATTTTTTTTTTAGAAAAATAAATTTTTTATATTAATTTTTTTTTAATATTAAGATAATTTTTTAGAAACTTTAACATGTTTTTTATTAAAATTAAAAAATTTTTTTTTTAAATATTAATAGTGAATTAAAATTAATTGATTTGTTATATCAATGAAAATATATATAATTATATATACAATTTTAGTTATTATTATTATTATTATTTTATTTTATATATATATATTTTTTATTCTTTGACAGTTTTGTTGAAGTTCAAATACAAAATTTTACTATTTGAAACATTAATTATTTCTAGTAATTCATGTTTTGAAATTGCAAGCCTGGCATTATCCAAGTACAGAAAATGCATTCAAATGTGACTTGTCACATCAGTTTATATCTAAACTGAAAGATTTTGTCAACTCTGTCAAGAACTAAATCAGAAAGAATTTGTTTTATTTTGTACTAGTTCATCCACCTCTTCATTGAATAGCTGAATACATTCTGCCTCTCTTTCTTTATTCTTACCAATTTTTCATCTTATTCAATATACTTTTCTTGTTATCTCTTCTATTTTTAATTCTTCTTGAACTATAGCTTTTATTATCATTTTTTTTTGTTTTGTATTGCTTCACTTTAGAGATTATTTCATTCTTATTTTCCTATTTGGTTACTGTTTTGCATCTTCTCCATCATATTTCTTCTTTAAACATTTTTTCTACAAACTTGATATATAGTTTCATAGAATATTTTATACCTTTTTGTGATACTTGTTTCATATATAATTTCTTAAACATACTTTCTATTACTAATCTATATATACATAACTCATGATACTTAATCTTATCTATTTCAGTTTTTTTAACAAGTATCTTGTTTAATTCAAGTTTCATAATCTTACTTTTATCTACTTTATCAAGCTTTTTCTATACTAACCAGCATATCAACTTTTCAATATTGTTTTAATACCTACTATACTCTTTATATCTAAGTAAATGTGTCAATGTCTTTTGTTCCTCATAACATTCTTTACATTTATTTGTCTTGTATATGTTTGGTAGTTTCTTTTTTAGTATATCAAGAACTGGTAAACTATTATTTATACATTTAATTCTAAATGCTATCTTCTTATTCATCTCTAGTGATTTATATTTGATTTCTGTTAAACTTCTGTTTTCCTTTCACAATGCTTTTCAATCTTTTTGAACTTCAGTATTTGGTTCAAGTTCTCTAATTACCTTTAAGTATTACTATTTAGTACTATTTATCATATTCATTAATGTTTTTATAAACTTTCTGATAGGTATTTCTACTACTAACTCTTTTCAGTACAATATATATAAAAATTAGCAATTTCTTTCAAGTATTAGATTTAAGCATTCATCTAACAATATGCCTTCTTTTGCAAGTTTGTTAACTTTTTTATTTCATACTACTTCACTATATGCTTTAACTTTGACTAGCATTAGTTCAATATTTTTTGACCTACATATATCTTTGATCTTTGTTACTAATCTGAAGTTTTTAATTTTGCTTTATGCTCTAATATTACATATAAACTCCTCTCTTTCTAGACTTGTAATTGCTGCTGAACTATCTAATTTAATTACTACTCTATTATTACTAGCTACAACTAAAACTATCATCAATACTGTTACTAACTCTGCCTTTGTTAATGATGATCATTTTTTTAATCTAACTTTATTCTTTATTATAATCTCTTTTTTATTTTCACTAATTTGCACCCAATTTGTATCTATTCTACACTTCTTTTCTTTTTTTACTAATAACCTATTTGTATAAAACTTGTATTTTATATATTCATCTATAATGTTCTTTTCTAACTGTTCTAGTAGCATACTCTCTAAACTGCTATTTAAGCCTTGCATTTTTAATAAACTAATTTTATAACTATATACTATTATCTTTCTATTTATGGCTCTTTTATTACTTATATCATCTTTTTCTATATGACACTTATTGTATCCTTTTAGTTCTTCAAGCAAGACTGATATCTTTTGCTTATACATCTGTCTTACTCTTAGTAATACTCCTACTATTGCACTCTTCTTAACCCAATATTGACAACTGCTTGTACTACTACTGTTACTCAGATTACATTTATTATATTCTACAAATACTAAGTAACTTTCTCCTTGAACTTGTGATGTGCTCTAATGATTTATTAGTATGTTTTTCTTTTTCTTTTTGACTACTTTGTCTACTATCAGTTCAGTATTCTCTTTGTTCACTAACATCCATTCTTATTTTCTTTTATCTTATAATAATTTTTTGACCTTAATTTTCATTATTATGGTGTTTATCTCTTGTATTTGAAACTCAGATCAGACAGTTTTATTTATTTAGTCTCTTAACATCTTCTGTTTAACTTTAGCAAACTAATTTGTTTTTATTCTTTTTGTGTACTCATATATAATGCCCTAAATTTTTTTTATATGATCATTTTTTTACCTTCTTGATCTATTAACTGCTATATAAAAAACAATTTACTCTGTATTAGCTTTTTACAAGCTATTTTAAATGTCTCATTCTCCAATAAGCTCTGTATAGTTTTATTTGTACTAAAAACTTGTCAAAGAATTTTTTCTACCTTTATCTTTAAACCTATTTCGCTTGCTCATAGTAGTATCAAGTATACAAGATTTCTTTTCCATATCTTTCTTAAGTTACTTATGTATATCATATTTATCTCTTCTGATATCAGTCCTACTAGAGCATAACCTTGCTTCATACATCTTTTTGTTACTTTACCAACTTGATTTGGCTCATTCAGTCTTCTTTGTAATGAAACCAGCTAACTATTAAATACTTTTTGACTTAGTACTCTATATCTTCCTAAACCTTGATATACAATTATGTTATTTTCTACAGTTGCTGGCAGACCTAATTTGTTTTTAATTAATCTAATCACTGGCTAATATAAGCAATTTATGTACTTCTTGAATACTTTTGCTATTTGCAATATATATATCAGTTTTGGTATTATATACATATTGTTAATATATATTAGCTAGCTAATAATTAATTTCTTAGAATATAAGCTTTTTATAAATTGCTGTATAATATTTTTTATCTTTTTTATGACTAATATTTCATTTACTTCTATACTCAACCATACTTCTAACATTTTTGTTAGTATACACTTTTTTTTTTTTTTTTTTTAAATATTAAAGTGAGTACTTGCGACCCAGGATTTTATTGATAGTACATTCAGCTAATGG